AATAAGTAATTGCTATATTCTGTTGCAGACTTTACTATGCCTATTAAAATCAACAGATTATAATTAGATTATGACTTTCATTTAATCTTATTAAATATACTTGACAATTATATACTTGATATATTTATTTACACATTTCTGTGGTTTTATTATTTGAAGTTAGATATCCTTGGGCTACTAAAAGGTAACACTTAACTATTACTCCTTTTTAAAAATATCATTATCACTTTAATATTATTACCATATTTTAATTTTCTAGAAGGTGGTTTTATAATTAAATTGTTGTCATTAGTCAAGTCAAAATTAAAACTTTATTTCAGCACTCAGAGAGTAAGAGCAATAAATGAGGTGAAAGACATAAATTATTACAAATAAATGGAAGAAAGATTATACAAAATTTCCTTTGACAAGGCTATTTAATCATAGTATTATGATTTATTAGTAAGTGTGCAAAGTGCTTTAATAAAATAAAGGAAACCACAGTTTCTGATAAGGGAATGATCTATAATAATGTGTTTAAATTTCTTCTCTATTTTAAGGACTAGGTTATAGTTGAAAGGAAGAAGGATATAAAGATGAAATATATTAGTTCCAAAGGGAATAAAGCATGGAAAATATATCAGTAGCCTAATAGGTAAGCCACTATATAGCAAGTGACACTACTTAATCACTTAATCACTTAACTTCCCGTTAGTCGTCGATTTGCTCAAGCGGGCGCGGGTAACGTCTCCATTTGTCCCTGTCGCGTGCTAGTGTAGCCCAATGGCACCTGTTCGCTCTGGGAACATGAAGAGCCTCAAACCGATCGTTCATGATCTTGACGAAGAAGTCTGACCATCTGGTAGGTGGGCGGCCACGCGGTCTTTTGACATCCCGTGGAATCCAGTCAGTAACAGCTCTAGTCCAGCGGTCGTCTTTAAATCTCATTACGTGACCAGCCCATCTGATTTTTGACACCTTGGCAAATGAGACAGCGTCCCTGATTCTTGATCGTCGATGGATGTCGGAACTCCGGATTCTTTCTCTCATTTGAGTGAAACGTGATATTCCAAGCATAGCTCTTTCTATTCTTCTTTGGGAGACCTGAATAGCGTTCTCATCCTGTTTGCGTAGGGCCCAGGTCTCTGAGGCATATGTTAATGCAGGAAGAACAGTGGAATCAAAGAGATGTGCCCAGAGCCGGAGGTTCTTCGTCCTCTTAGCTATTTCTTCAACGTTCTTGAAGGCGTTCCAAGCTGCTCTCTTCCTCCTGCGCAGCTCGGGTGCCAGGTCATTTGTTATGTTGACTTCTCGACCTAGGTACACATAGCTGTTGCATTCGGAGATGGTCGTTCCGTTGAGAGCGAATGGGGCGTCAGGAACTAGGCTGTTTCTCATAAACATTGTCTTCGTAAGATTCAGCTGTAGTCCTACCTTTCCACACTCACGGTCAAAGTCGGCCAGCATTTGTGCCGCTTGGCTGATGTTTGGTGTTATTAAAACAATGTCATCAGCAAAGCGGAGGTGGTGTAGTTGCCGACCATCTATCTTCACTCCCATTCCTTCCCATTCCAGTCGTCGCATGATGTTCTCGAGGATGGCACTGAAGAGTTTCGGTGAAATGGTATCACCCTGCTGAACCCCTCTCTTGACATCAAAGATCACTTCTTTGTAGAATGGTGAGGTCCTGGTAGTGAATCCGCAATACAACTCATGGAGGATCTTGATGTATTGGGCTTGATGCCCTGATGGGTTAGGGCTTCAATGACCGCTTCCGTCTCAACAGAATCAAAGGCCTTCTTTAAATCAATGAACGTTAAACAGAGCAGCATCTTGAACTCCTGAGAAACCTCAATGAGCTTGGTTATTGTGTGGATATGGTCGATGGTGCTGAATCCTTTGCGGAACCCGGCTTGCTCGCACGGTTGTCCTTCATCTAGTGTTCTGCCAATCCTATTTAGGATGACTCGAGTGAACAACTTGTAGATGACAGACAATAGGCAGATCGGGCGATAGTTGCCAATGTCATGGATGTCTCCCTTCTTGAACAGTAGTACGGTCCTGCTGGTTTTCCATTGGGACGGAACCTTGCATTCAGACAGGTAGCGAGTGAAGAGCCGAGCCAGTGTATTGATGAGTACTGACAGCAGGTTCTTCAGGTGTTCAGGTCTGACCTTGTCTGGGCTGGGTGCTGTTTGTTTTTTTACCGACGAAATGGCGTGTCGGATTTCTGAAGGGAGAACGTTGGGAATGACATATCCATCCTGTGGAATTTGGTATGTCGGCAAGTGGACATGGCTATCAAAGAGATTTGAGTAGAAGTCGTGGATAATCTTCTCCATTGCCGTTCTAGAGGATGTGATGGATCCATCAGGATGTCGGAGGGCAGTCATCTTGGTCTTGTAGTTGGCGAAGGACAGGTGGGCGTTACGAATACTTTTCCCAGCTTCTGCCACATCTACCAGTACTTCTGCTCTTCTCTCTTTGAGGTCTTCCTTGATCGCATCTCTGCACTGCTTTGCAAGCTTGGAAGTTAGCTTGCGGTTGCCTGAGGCATGTGCCAAACCACGCTGGAGAATTAGCTCAAGGTTTTTTGAAGACAGGCCTTTTTTTGTGGCTATCTCTCTCTTGGCGTTCCTCGCACATTCATGGAGGTGCTGAACCAGTCGATCGTATTCCTCGTCAATGTTGTCAACAATGGCATCTTCCCATGTTGCCGCAATAGTGCCAAAGAGTTCCCAGTTGGTGGTCGTTCTGGCAGTTCTCCTTTTGAACTTTGCAGTCTTTTCTCCCGGCTCTGTGAAGTAGAATTTTGCACGAAGGAGGCGGTGGTCCGATTCCGTTCGAAATTTTGGGACAACAGCGACATCGGTCAGGCAAAACCGTCGATTGAATATGATGTGGTCTATTTCATTGTGGAATCGTCCACCGGGAGACTCCGATGTCCAACATTTAGATTCTGCCTTCTGGAACTGTGAGTTACCATGGATGGTCCTGGTCGACATGATGAACTCAGACAGTCTCTCACCCTGTTCGTTCCATTCTAGGCCATGGGTCCCGATGTGAACTTCTTCAGCTGATCTTCTCGGTCCTATCTTGGCATTAAAATCACCCACAATGATCTTGTAGAAGGTGTGGTCTTCTTTATAGAACTTCTCCAGCTCCATGTAGAACTTCTCGATTTCTCTTTCATCGTAATGAGATGTTGGTGCGTAGACAACGAAGATAGAAACTGCTGGCAGTGAGCCACATCTATTCAAATGTAAACGTCCGATTCAGGTTGTTAGGCATTCAAATGAATCAATGCTCATGGCCAAGTTTGTGTTGACAAGGACACCGACGCCTCCTACAACTCTTTTATCGCATGTTCCAAGGAACAATTCTTTTCCAGTGTCGAAAACGGCATGGTGAGATTCGTGCCTTCTTGTCTCGGTCAGACCAATGATGTCGTACTTGATCATTCACGCTTGTACCATCAGGTCCTCGATGGAGGCATCTGATGCTAGCATACGTGCATTGAAAGTACAGATGATCATTTTTGTCTTCCTTTGTTGTGGCAGCCTAGTTCGGCCTTGAGATTTTGTCGGCCTCTCCTTTCTCAGGGATCGGATCGCGCACAGAAGACCCACCCTACCCAGATAAATACCCAACTGGCAGACTTCCACTATCGACACTACCTCCACTACCCAGCCGTCGCCACACTCCAGGATGCTTTCCAGACCCGCGGGGCAGCTCCAGCCAAGACTCACGCACGACTGAAGACCCACAGAACAAGATAAGCGGAACTCTCTGAGACCTTGGACTCCAGCTCGGTGAACCCAGGAACAGAGTTTCTCTGCTTGCTCCCACCAACCACAGGTGACAAAGGGATTCTAATCAGGAGCCCCACCCTACCCTGCCCTGTCTGCTTTCATCAACCACCCAGGGATCAGATCGATCGCGCACAGAAGACCCACCCTAGCCAGATAAATACCCCACTGGCAGACTTCCACTATCGACACTACCTCCACTACCCAACCGTCACCACACTCCAGGATGCTTTCTGGACCCGCGAAGCGGCCGTGCGACACATCATAAGACACTAAATACCCATCTTCCGGAATTGTCGTACCATATTGGATAGGGTTCAAATATGGTAACACCTACAAGGGTGATTAGAGGTCGTCCCAAAAGCCTCTATCCCTCTCGGAAAGACTGGCAAGCTACCGAGAGTATTCCGCCCACACGGAAGAGCCTGGCAAGCTATCCGTTGTGTATTCGATATGCCAAAACCAGTAACTACAACTGGTCTCATTCACCTGACCCTGAAGGCTTCACCGACATGGCAGCACTGAGAAAGAGACACTAAATTCATCTAAAATCAAAAGACTGGGGTTGGAGCAATAGCAAAGCGGGTAGGGCATTTGCCTTGCAGGCGGCGACCCAGGTTCAATTCCCAGCATCCCATATGGTCCCCTGAGCACCGCCAGTGGTAATTCCTGAGTGCAGAGCCAGGAGTGACTCCCGTGCATTGCTCGGTGTGACCCAAAAAGCAATAAATAAATAAATAAAATCACAAGACTAATACTACGTGACAGTGCATTCTCTTATGTTTCAAGATAAGTTTGATAGTTGTTAAGAAAAAGTTCATCGAAGAAAAAAAAGGATCACAGATAAAGAGAAATCTAGGGGTCAGAGAATAGCACAGTGGGAAGGGTGCTTGCCTTGTACACAGTGAACCCAGATTCAATCCCCAATACCCCATATGATTCCTCATGCCCTGCCAGGAGTGATCCCTGAGCACAGAGCCTGAAGTACACCTTGAGCACCACTGGGTGTGGCCTAACATTAAAACAACAACAACAACAACAACAACAACAACAACAACAACAACAGAAAAGCCCCCTAAATTTAAAACCACCAAAATACAAAAACATACACATTTAAGGAAATATCCCATTTTTCACAAGCCTTACAATTGCATAATAAAATTTTCTTAAGTATATCTCTTTATTTGTTCCAATTCTAATTTCATAAATTACCTAGAGATCTGTAGTGCTCCAGTATAGTGAGGTTTTGTCTTCTGCCATGTAGCTCCAGGTTATGAAAGTCTTGTAGTAAAAGCCTTTTGCTTCCTGATGAGGTTGAGATGTAGTTAATAATATGCTGGCTGACTGTTTTGGATACCATGCTTAGCAAACTGATATCCTTCACTACCAAAAGAAATAAACATAAATGGTTTGAATATAGGAACACCACTATTAGTATATCTACTCAATTACAAATATAACAAATTAAAACTACTAAATAATAAAAAATACAAATGAGAAAAAGGGGGAAATCTTAAAATTATTTTAAATTCAATGCTAAATAAATTAGAAACATTTTGGTATATGACAGTCAGTTATCATTTTATTTAATAATATGCTTTAAAGAGTTTGAGCATCATACTTTCTCATTGTGCTCCTTATACAACAACAATGAAGAAACTTTAGAAAATAAACATAATGTTAATGCTATTAACTTTTCAGTAGACTCGAGGATAACAAGTTAATTTGTAGTAAAAACAAAAATTTGAGTCTATGCAGCCTATTTATAGTCCCCAAATCTCACCTGACAAATATTTTAAGATTATCTGAAATATTTCCAATGGTAAGGCTTTAAAATTTCCAAGTGCTGATAATAGCAGAGAATCAGAATCAAAAGTGTTAGAAAAATAGTTGGACCTTCGATGACTACGTCTGAATTTATTGTTGGGAATCAAAGTGAAACTCGTATTTATTCTAGATGCCATTCTTTTTCTCTTTCATGAATTATCCTGTTAGAAAAACTATAAGAGATGAAGAAAGAAGATTAAAGCAACAAACAGCTCTATATTTTTAAACAGAGGTTCATATATATCATATATGAAATGTATACAAACACAGTTTGGGGGATCAAATCTGGGGTTCTTGCATGCAAAGCATGGACACTGAAACTTGGAAAATTTTCCAGACTCAAAGTTTTGTTTGGGGGCCACATCCAGCAGTGCTCAGGGCTTACTCCAGCCTCTGTGCTCGCATATCACTCCTGGAGGGACTTGGGGGTCCAAATGGGGTGAATCAAGTATATATCAGCTGCCTTAACACAGGTATTAAATACAAGTGTTAGTAATAAATATTGTTTATTGTCACTGTCCTCCTGTTCATCGATTTGTTCGAGTGGGCACCAGTAATGTCTCCATTGTGAGACTTGTTACTGTTGCAATTACATAATAAACTTACAGATAAAGAGAAATTAAATTAGCTATTTAATTTATTAAATATTAATTATATTAAATAATATAGGTAATATAATTAATATATTACATTAAAATAAATATGTTCATTATAATATATTAATTAATATAATATAGTAATAAAATACAATAAATTATATTTTAATGTTACTTTAAAATTAATATTGCGTTTTTGTTCAAAAAATTAAAAGATTTAAAAAAATAAGAACTTAGAACTCTCAAAATTTACTAGATCTAACAGATTAAGAAAAATGCATGACGATGACCAAATATGTTCTGTTTTACAAAAATAAGCAGTAAATTTAACCTTGTAAAATTAATTATTCTAAGACTAGAATAAATTAATAACAAACTCTTTTCTTCTCAATTCTACTTGTAAGAGTTACTGATAAATCTGCATTGAAAAACCTATATAGCCTGACTTAAAATTTTTTTTCTATTTCAAGTTCCCAAAAGGAAAATTAAAGGGGAATGGATTATTCAATTTATTATAATCACTGATAATTCGCTTACACTCACACATAGAGACTTTGTGTAACTACCGCTCCAATTAAGAACCCTTTTTTGTTTTTGTGCCAGTATGGGGATGCTCCAGGGTTACTCCTAGCTCTGCGCTCAGGAATCAATCCTGGTGGTATTCAGGGAACCCTATGGGATGCCGGAGATTAAATTCAAGTCAGCCACACAAGGCAAGAGCCCTACCCATTGAACTATCTCTCTGGTCCCCCCCCCCACACTCCCCAACTCTTTTTTTTGCTGTATGTACTGCGTACACATATAGCAGGACTGGGCAGTAGCTCATGACCCCGTCCCTCACAATTCCCCTCCCCTCCATACGTATAACCACAACTACCATCCATCAAGGGGTCTCCCAGTTTCTGAAGCACCAACGAACATATCTCATCGGTTATAAATATATGTATGTCCCCTTTTGGCACGTAACTGCTAAAATCATATTGCTTCTTAATCAGGATACATGACAACCTGACCATTAAAATCAGTTAGAACTGAAAATCTGGTAAGAAATGTGCTTAAACCCATACCACACCTAGGGCGTATTCCCGAAGGGGACAGCTAGTTTAGGAGGGTTTCACAGCGATTAGGAAAACCACACGAGGAACTTTGTGCCTGATCCCAAAGCTTCTAGAACCCATAAACCAACAAGACCCAAACCGGATACACTTGGATTCCGAATGTTCTAAAACCTTGGTTTGCATCGTTGCGCAGGTTATCTAGAGACTAATTTCTCCGCTTATTCTTTTGGGTTGGTTTGTTCGGTTTTGGATTTGGGGCCACACCAGGAGGTGCTCAGGTCTTACTCCTGGTTCTGGGCTCAGGGAGTCCTCCTGGCGGGGCTTTGGAGGACCAGACGGGATGCCGAGGACCGAACCCGTTTCGGCTGCGTGTACCGCAGACGCCCTATCTTCTCTGTATAACTGCTCCGGACACGTGACCAATTTCTATTTAACGAAAAAAAAAGTGTGTCAGGGGGAGTTTACGCCTTCTTCTCCCGGGGTATTTTTTCTTACGTGCCATTAAAAGGGTTCTTCTTTTCAAGACCCCGGAGACACCGGAACCCGCAGACACTGGAAGGCCTGCAAGAATGGCGCCCAGTGGGAGAACCCCGAACTCCTCCGGCCTTGAGGGAGCGCGCCCTCGCCCATCCGCAGGCCCAGGGCTCTGACGAGGCTGGGGGCAGATGGGGCGCCCCCTCGCCGCACCCCTCACGGCGCTCGCGTCCTTCTAGAACGCCACCGAGCTTCGCCCGACCGCAGCGACCGTGGTCGGGGAGTCACCCCTAGGGGGGAGCTCGCCTCACCCCTCTGAGGAGCCCAGCCCCCCCACGCGGTGTGAACTGCCCGTGCCCCTCCCCCACCCGCCTCGCCTCAGCTACCCCGCGGGGCGCGCTCGGCTCGTCGAACGAAACCCGGGAGCGAGCACCCCCGCCACCTACCCTCGGGAACCTACCCCAACCCCCACGAAAAGGCGCCCGGGCGAGCCCCTAAAAGAGAAATGGGCTCACGCGGGAATCTAACCCCACCCAATGCTTCTGTCATCCCCTTTCGGCTAGGGAATGAGAAAACTGAAGAAAGTCTGGGAAGCGCGGGCATCCTCTTTTTACCACAGCTTTTCAAGGTTTTCCGGCTAAAGGACCACAGGAAAATGGTATCTAGCCATTTTGCCCCACCAGCCCCAAGTTTCTTAACGTTTGAAAAGTAATGCCCTCCTCAAGGTTTTCCCACCGGGCAAGCTTTTCCCAGCGAGCCCAGCAGCACGCGAGCAGCAAACAGGCAACCTCCGCAGCGATCCGCCACACCGCCCCCGCGGCGCTCTGGAGTGTTTTCGAATCTTCCCAGGAGGCCCCGCGGGCCGGAGGCCCCACCCACCGACCAATAGCAAGAACGCCTGGCTCCTAGAGTCCCCGCCCCCTCATGAATATTCTAGAAATGTCATGGCCCCGCCCCTTATGGATACTATGAGATATGGCTCCCCCACGTGCCTTCCAACCTCGATGAAGTCTGAGGCTCCCCTGCCCAATGGAGGCTCTTTAGACTCTAGAGAGGCGCCAGGAAGGGTTTTTAGCATGGCGCCCCCATGTTTGCTCCAAAGCGTTTCTCTCCTTTCAACCTAATTTTGTACCACTTTTTTTTTTTTCTGACTCTGCTCTTCCCTTTAACATATTCCCTATCATGTTCAGCTCAATCAGGACCACATGCTTGATAGTATACACCGATCATGGACCAATCATGTTTTTTGGCTTTAGACAACTTTCTTTCTTTCTTTCTTTCTTTCTTTCTTTCTTTCTTTCTTTATTTTTGCTTTTTGGGTCACACCTGGCAATGCACGGGGGTTACTCCCGGCTCAAGCACTCAGGAATTACCCCAGCGGTGCCGGGGGGACCATATGGGATTCTGGGAATCTAAGGGGGGCAGCTGCATGCAAGGCAAACGCCCTACCCGCTGTGCTATCACTCCAGCCCCAACTACTTTTTTTTTAATCCCCTATCTCTCCACCCCTCTAAGGGTAAATTACAAGAACAGCTCTCTGTCCAGACTCAACGAAGGTGGGTCTCCAGCCATACCACCATCAACGGCAGAGGGCTTGAAGAGGTTGTGCAAGGGAGACAGCACTTTCCTTGCACATGTCCAACACGGGTTCGATCCCCAGTACCACCTATTGGGTCATCCTGGAATAATGCCTGAAGAGGGCCTTGAATCCAGTCGGGTGTCACCCCAAAACAAAGACAAGCAGAACCGGTGGAGAATGAGAAATTCCAGTCTCTTTTATGGAGTCTGACCAAGCCCTTCACCTTCAAAGATTAACAGTTCATTCCTTTACTCATGCATTCAGTAGCTGTTTTGAGACCTGCGGTGTTTAAGGCACTGGAGTAGGTCTAGGAGAACAAGGTGTTAAATTAAGATACTAAGTTTAAACCAAGATACTAAGTTTCCTCTTGCCTTAATGGTTTTTGTTTTTTGGGTTTTTTGTTTGTTTTCATTTGAAAGGGGTTTGGTTAGTCTCAGCAGGTCCTCAGGATTTACTACTGGCTCTGTTCAGTGATCACTCTTGGCTTGCTGGAGGATCACACAGCAGCAGGCATCAAAGTGGGGTGCAAGGGCCTTAACCAGATACTTGCACTGTTTAAGAGGTGGGAGTGGTTAAATGCTTGTTCATTTTATGTTATTTTTCTTCATAGGGATTTATGTGAGTTTTTTGTTTTGTTTCAGGGCCATATCCTGCAGTTCTCAAGAGCTACTCCTGACTTGGCGCTCAGAAAGGTTCCTGAGGAATCATATGTGGTTGGGAATTGAACCTGGGTCTCCCATATGCAAAGCATGGCTGATTACTGTAACATTTTATAAAATTATGGGAAAGATGTTCCAAAATTTTTTTTGAGTAAAACAGCACATAGTTCCTTTGCAATTTAAATTTTCTGCAAGAAATCAATGTTCACTGTAGGAAAAGATTAAAAAAAAAATACAAGTTCACCCTTTCAAACCCCTCTCCTCTCACTCAATCTTATCTTTGTTATTTGGTTTTGTATTTTGTCTTAAGCAGTTAAGCAGTGCCTGGACCATTCCAGGCAATACTCACCCAAACAGCCCAGGTGGTTCACTCCTAGGGTCCTGCAATATGGTGGTGCTTTGGTCTGTGTATAAGTGCTGAGGATAGAAATGTGGGGGCGGGGGAGGGCTGTGCTGAGGGGAAAACTCTGGGACTTATCCCTGAGAAGCATATGATCCTGGAGTACTCTACCAGAATAGAACCACCTGGGAACTCTACAGTATGTTTCCTTTCTTTTAGAGTAAAAAAAAAAAAATAGAATTCTTTTCACTGGTTACATAATATTCATTTAAAAATTGACAAGTTTGTTCAATTTGTTCTGTATCATTAAATAGATTGTTTCCAGATTTTTGCTACTTAAAGATGCTAGAGCAGGGTATGGTGCCGCCAGCAGATCAACCTGTACCTGTGGGACTAGTGCATCAGCAATCTGATGGTGCCTTCAGACTTCCAGATACCCCAAAATTGCTGCTGTGCCTTTGGCCAGACCCCAACAACTTGGGGCCAAGTTTACCAAGAAATTAAACGGCCAAAAGGTAGGTATGTGGGAGACACACCCACAAACCACCTCCGACTCAGTTATATAAGTTCATTTATTGGCCTTATTTCAGAGACCCATAAATCCCAAAAGAGATCAAAAGACGAAGTTAGGGCTTGTAGCGCAGAGGTAGGAGGGAACCCATAACTGAGTGCTCCAGGCCTGCTTGGATCGGGACTGGGCCTCCTCCCCCCAGTTTTCTAGTAGTTTGACAGTCACACCCAGACTGTCCCCGGAACCATGTAATCTCATCAATGTCCAAGACCCAGGGACTACTAACTAAAATTCCCAAAAGAGAGTGTTGCAGAATGTCCTGACCCCGCGCCAGGCTGTCTTCACTTGGGCGCCCCAGAGGGCAGTGGGTGAGAGCCCTCCCTGCCCCAAGGGACCCAGTTCTGGTAGCCCAAAACCTCTACAACCCAACCGCTGCCACGCTCAAGGCCGCTCCCCATGTGCTTGGGCTGAGCCTCACCTATGAGTAAACGTACTCCTGGACCTCACAGTCGCTTTTGAGGCCTCACAACACATCATAAAACACCCCCTACCCATTCCCCATAATTACCACACCACATTTGATGGGGTTCCAATAGTAGGCAACAAATCATAGAGGGAAATATATATATGCATATATACATATTTTCAGATATATATATACCAAAGCTCACATCACTCAAACTTTAACAACATGTTAGTGATATCCTATAGCATGTCTTAATGGCTCCTGCCAAAATAGAACTATCTTCACATTGTTTCCTCTATGGACACTTTTTTGTAAGCATGTTCAGCAGTTCTTTATAACAGACAATATGAAATATATTATTTTGGTGGTTTTTTTGGGACAGGGATTGGGGTTTGGGATGGAAGTATCTTGAATCTGATGGTGGGACAGTATAATGGTGGTGGGATTGGTGTTTAAATATTGAATGTAATCAAACATTGTGAACTAACTTATAAAATTTAAAAATGGAAAAAAAATAATGTGGAGTCCATGCCCATTTCAATCTTAATCAATGGCTGAATAAATAGCAGTGCTCCTACATTATAAAAAAAAAGATGTTAGAGGACTCAAGGAACACTTTTGATATGCATTTTAGGGTAAACTTTCAAATGTTTATTTTTTAGAATTTTTTTCATTTGTTTTGGGTGCACATCCAGCTGTACTCAGTGGCTTTGAACACAAGGATTGGGGTTCAGGGATGATGTGGTGTGCTGGGGATCAAACCCCTTGTCCACTTGCAAGGCGAGCTTCTTCCCCACTGTGTAACCTCTCTGGCCCTTAATTTTTCTTTTTTTTTTTTTTTGTGGGGATGGGACACACCTGGCTGTGCTCATAACCTACACTTGGCTCTGTGTTCAGGGATCATTCCTGGCAGGCTCAGAGGACAATAAGGGGTACTAAAGATCGAATACGTGCCAGCTGTGTGCAAGACAAGCAAGAACCCTACCTGCAGTTCTATCTGGCCTTTAGTTATTTTTTTTTCTTTTTGGGTCACACCAAGCGATTCTCAGGGGTTATTCCTGGCTCTGCACTCAGGAATTACTCCTGGCGGTGCTTGGGGGACCATATGGGATGCTGGGGATCGAACCCAGGTCGACCTCGTGCAAGGCAAACGCCCTACCCGCTGTGCTATCGCTCCGGTCCAGGCCTTTAGTTTTTTAATGTAGTTTAATTTTGTTTTGGGGCCACATCCAGAAGTGCTCAGGGATCGGGGCTTGGAGGACTGTATGAGATACGGGAGCTCGAATCCAGGTTCACTACATTCAAGGCAAGCACCCTTCCCGCTGTACTATCTCTGACTCTATTTTTCTTGCCTAAACTAAGTCCAGTCATAATCCCAATCCTATGGAACTCAAGCTCCTTTATCTCCTTCTTTATCTCCACACATTCTCAATCTGTGGCTTCTACCTTGTGCTCAAGCCATCATATCCACATTTTAGCTAGTAGGAGTGAGAAACTGGTTTCCTTCCCATTTCAAGGGTTCTTCAAGTATGTAATAAAATGGTCATTATTTCTAACTGGGGAATATTTTGGAAGACCTGCATTCAGCTACAAAAAAAGAGAATGTTCTATTCCTAGATAAGAAGGAACAAGCAGGTATCAGAGTACAATAGCAATCTTGGTATAAAAGAGACTTATGAAGGCTTATTTTCTATTTTTTGCTCTATTCTGTCTTCTGATTTCCATCCTTTGCCCAATTTTTAAATTTATTTTTTATTTATTTAATTTAATTTTTTTTTTTTTTTTGCTTTTTGGGTCACACCCGGAGATGCAGAGGGGTTACTCCTGGCTCATGCACTCAGAAATTACTTCTGGCGGTGCTCGGGGGACCATATGGGATGCTGGGAATCGAACCCGGTCGGCCGCGTGCAAGGCAAACGCCCTACTTGCTGTGCTATCACTCCAGCCCTGCCCAATAATTTTTAATGTCCCAATTAATCTAGCAACACCTAAACGAATTTCCTATTGATTGTTGATAGAGAAGATAAATAGTTGGCTTCTAAGCACCTTTAAATTCCCCTTTTCAGACAAAACAACCTTTTGATTTTGTCTAGTTTGATTTCCTCAGTTTCTAAATTTTAGTCCATCTTTCTGAGGCATTCTCAGTTCTGGGGATTGAACCAGACCTTGTACTTGCAAAGCAAGTGCTTTATTTAGCTCATGAACCATTCATCCACTTTGATTTGCATA